TTTATGTGTACAAGTGTATTGCCTGCAATGTAAGTGTACCAGTGTTGTGCAATGCCCATGGAGGTCAGAAGAGGGCATCGGATTCCCTGGAACTGGAGTTACAGATGGTTGTTAGCCACCATGTGGATGCTGGGAATCGAACCCAAGTCCTCTCCAAGAGCAGTCAGTGCTCTTAACCACTGAGTCATCTCTCCAGCCCCTCTTCTGCTGTTTTTAACAGGCTATGAAAAGGAACATAAAGCCCTTAGCATGGTACCAGACATGAGGGGTTCTCAGCAAACATGAGGGGTTCCCACTTCATTGGAAGCAGTCTCATTAAGGAGGTGCCAACTTGGTGGTGGAGGCAGGTATCTGTAGAGAGGACCAGTCAGTGCAAAGCATCATCTCAAAAGCCCTTTACAGACTGGCCTCTAGGTTGCGTGGCTCAGTGAGAGAACACTCACTTAGCCCCATGGTTTGGTCCCCAGCACCACAAATGAAATTACAACAATAAAAATAGTCTCCCCACCTTGAGCCTTGGTCCTATGACAAGGCAGTTGCTGTGGTCAACCTCCTCTGCCTGCCTGTAGGCTAGTAGATGGGTCATGCTTTTAACCCAGGCTGCCAAGAAAGCCTGGTACTCAGGCTACTAAGAAGAAGCCTTAATCAATGAGATTTTGGCATCTAGTATAGAGGCCCAGGGGATAGGACAGGCACAAATGGAATTCTGGAGCCAGGTAAGGTTCTGGAAGAAGAAAAAAATAAAAATTAAAGCAGAAACAGAGAGACCTGCACAGTGTGACCTTGAGTAAGGCATATCCTTGGGTTTCTTTTCTCCTTTAAAAAATGGGGATAATGATATTCAATTAAAACACAGGAAACTGAGTGATCAAATGCTGGCGATTTCCTGCCAGTCTACCTAATACTACATCAGGTGGGCCAGGCCTGGCAGCTGAAGTCCAGTGGACCAGTACCACCCGGAGGCTCTAATCTCTAAGGCCAGCTTTCCTCAGTCTTTGGCCTGGCCACACCTCTCAAGCCTGCTAGCTGCCCCCACTCCTACGAAAGCAGTCAGGTCAGCTGTCACCATGGTTACCAGTAAATTCACTCGGTGACATCTTGGATGCATTCATGCAAATGGACTTCTGAGGTTTTGACCTTACCTGACACCATCAAAGGCCAGGGTAGGGGGACAGGAGTAGGGAAATAGGGAGAGACACATGGTCAGGGCAAGACAGAATCAGAACTTTCACTCTTCCCCTCAGGGAGAAAAGAGCAGGCCAGCAGCTCTCCTCTGGGGAGGCTGGGTTTCCCCACCAGATCCTGGATGAGACATCCACACAGCCTCTGGCTCAAAACAGCTGCTCTATGCCAGTGTCAGCAGTCCTCCTCCCTCAGCAGAGCCTGGGTTCATAGATGGACCCAGGTCTTCTGCTTAGGAATCACCAGGTCAGCTGAGGCAAGTTCCTTCCTGGCACCTCAGCCTTCTCACTGGAAAATGGGAGCTGCTCTGGGCCTGCCCCTCAGAGGGTTGGGACAAGGTATAAGAAATATGAGGGACAGTCAGTCATGAGTCTCATTGGTCCATTTGCTACAGACAGAAGACACAGACCCTGTCTGGGGAAGGAGGCAAGGACACACACTGATGACAGTGCTTCTCCAAGGAATTTCCTCCCCCAGACCTTAGTTGCAATATACTGTTTCCACTCTCCCCCAGGCTCCAGCCTCACCCAACATCAGCTCCTCTCTACTTGTTTTTTAAGAAAATATTTTATTTATTGTTTTTATGTGTGTATGCATGTATTACCTACATGTATGTATCACCCATGTCATGCAATGCCCTTGGAGGTCAGACGAGGGAGTCAAATTCCCCTGGAACTGGAGTTAGACGGACAGTTGTTAGCCACCATGTGGGTGCTGGGAATCAAACCCGGGTCCTCTATAAGAGCAGCCAGTGCCGTTAACTGCTGAGCCATCTCTCTACTTCTTGCCTGGACAAGTGCAGTACTCTATGAAGCTATCTCCTCATTCCCTCCTTTGAGCCATCTTCCACTAAAGGCACAAGTCCTGGAGCGGGTCATCTAGGCTTTGAATCTAGCCAGACGGCACCTTCATGGTGGTCTTGGTCATAAAGGAGCTCCTTCACTGCTCAGCCTCTGAATTCCAAATGGACGGTGATTGGCCACACACCCCATTCCCAGCAAGGTGGCCATTCCCAGCAAGCATTGTTGCTCCTACCCAAGCCCATAGCTCATACCCTGACCTGTCAGCAGGACAGCCTGGGAGTCCAGGCACACACTCAGCATGCTCCAGGGCACCCAGGAGAAGCACTCCCCCTCCCCCAGAAGACTGGAGCATTCATCTGTCCCTCAAGGATGACAGGTCTCTGCTGCTACTTGGAGAGCCTGGCTCATCTCTCTCACCCAATCCCCAGGGTGAGGTGTAGAAAGAGACAGAGAGAGACCTCTAGTGATTGGCTCCACCTTCAGCCTTGGGCCCCAGCTAGCCTTCATCACCTCTTCACTCTCTCCCTCTCCAACCCCATCAGAAGTGCCGTCAGATTAACCTCATTTCTGATAAGTTCTCTCCTGCCAGTCTGCTCAGAACCTTAAGGCCATCCACCCCCTCAGATAAGGCCCACACTCCCAAGCTTGGCATGGAGGCTGTCTGTGACACAAAACTGATAAGGGGTGTGTAGATGGGACTTTGAGAAGGGTTGTTGTTCTTTTTCTGATGCCTCCTCTGTGGGAAAGCCTTCTCTCTCTTCTCTCCTGGTGAATTCTGACTCATCTTGTGATGCCCAGCTCCCAGGCTTTCCTTGATCCTCCACAGAGCAAGTCTCTGTGCTTGGCCCCAAGGCCCTCTTGGCTCTTTCCATCATTCTGCAGTATAAACTGGCTGCAGCACTCTCCCTCCTGCCAGGCTAGGGTCTACCTCAGTAGGAAGCCAGTCCAATCTTGCTCTCTCTACACAGTGCCCAGGACAGGAATGTGCCCAGGCACTTGAAAGTGTGCCTACTGACTGAAGAAGGCCATGTGACATCAACATGAGCTAAAACCAAGGATGTGACTAGAAAAGTAGCTTCTAGGGACAGGCTTAACCTTGAGGGCAGTCCCTGCCCCTCCTCTGCCCAGGCCTGGTCTCTAATAGCCTCAACACTGAACATCAGCAAGACACCCACAGAGGCCCTTAGACTAGACTCAGAGAGGCCTTGGCCACTCCAGAAATGGTCCACACAAGTAAGGCAGAAAAGGCAAAGCACAACAAAGCCCTGCTCCTGGTTAGCCCCTGGGTCAGACGCTCACAGAACCTCCTCAGCTTGGTAGAGGGAGGGCCACTGCCCCTGCTCAGGTCTCCCAGGCCCTGCCCTACACTAGGGATGGAGGAATTCATTGGCTCCCCTCTCAGCCCATCACATTCAGCCTCCCCTGGGTGCCAGGGATGCCTGGGGGCACTTGCTCTCCCCTCACTCGGACTGGCAAGTGCCCCCCATCTCTGGCTCCTCAAGTCTCTGGGCAGCAGAATTTATCTAGGCTTTTTAGCTGTGTCTGAGCAAGGCAGCCCTCCTAAGGTTCCACCAGGGAGGCCTTGTCCCGCCACAAACTGCCTACTGGAAGGAAAGGGGCCAGGGCTTCACTGGGGACAGGCAAGTGCCTTGTTGGTGAATAGGATGTGAGAGGTAAGAAGAAGGCAGGGGCACGGTTTCCCCTCAGGGACAGCCACACTCACCCACCCCTACAGGACCACCCCTCACTAACCGCTGCTGACCCGGACCCTACCTTCCATTCCTGGCTTTCTGATTGGCTCTCCAATCTGTAAGAGTCGTTAGGGGCCCCAGACCCTGGATGCTGAGATAATCAGACGGCCTCCGACTCCTCAGTTTGTGCCCCACCTGGACCTCCCTCCCTCCCCACAAAAGACTGCCAGGCGTGTGTAATCTCAGTACTGAGAGGGCAGGAGCTGAAGCACCTCTATACTCAAGTGATGAAGGCGGAGGTGGAAGCCCAGAGAGGGGTAGTTACTTTCCCAAGGTCACACAGCAGAGGCCTAGGATGCACCCAGACCTCCCACCTCCCACCCTCGGGCTCTCAGAGCCTTGCCAAGTATGGGGTTCTCGAAATGTCAGGGTGCAGACACTCCCTGTCCCTTTCTACCCGCAGCCAACATCCACATCCAGAGCCCCCTTACCTCCCGGACCTCAGCCGGCCTTACCTCAGGGCCCGCTCCCGGGCGGGGCGCTCAGGCCAGGCTGGACTTAGGCTGGGCCAGGCTAGGTCAGGGCGGGTCCTCTGCTCCCCCACCCCAGGGAGGGGTCCCAGACCGCAGGGATGCTGCTGCCACGGCCAAGTCCACCCTTCCCACCCCGCTCCGCACAGCCCTGTACGGACCTTGGGAGCCCAACTCTGCAGCGCAGTGACGGGGCTGCGGGGCGAAGCGGGGGAGGGGCGAGGTGCGGGAACGGGGCGGAGCCAGAGCGGGGCCACCCCGAGGGCTGCCGCTTCGCCGCGTCCCCTTTAAGGCCAGGTGGCTTGTGAGCCCGCAGGGTGGGCCGGAGCGGGCGTCTTTTCGCAATGCCCCCTGGGAGTTGGAGTCCGCACGGGGTGCGCGGGACGGCGAGGAGCCCGGAGAGGACTACGAGTCCCAGGGGCCAACGCGCTGCCCGACCCGGCCGGCCCCTGCGCCGGCCCGGCCTCCGCCCCCTCCCCTCCTGGCGAAGCTGCGCTAGCTGCGGAGGGGTGGCTGTTGAGCGCGGGCAGGAGGTGGGTGCGGCGCGGCCCAAGCCGGGGGGCTCGGGACCCAGAGGCGACGCAACGTGGGCACCATCGGGGAACTTGTCCTGCCATGAAAGGTCATCTGTTCCAGCCTCGCCGTTCTCATCCGTGAAATGGGGTGGCGACGGGGGAGGGGCGCGTCTCGGAGAGAAGAGAGCCGAGGGGGCAGGGTTATAGAGGGGCGGGGCTGAGGGCGGGGCCCAGAGGATGCGAGGGTGCGAAGAGTTCAGATCCTGAGGGTCTCAGTGGGAGGAGCCTCTGGTGGGTGGGGCCATGGGCGGGATCGCTAGGTGACATGGAGTCCTGTCTGGTCCGAGGGGCGTTCGAGGCCTGGGTGCTGGGAGAGCCCAGGAGGCCTACCCAGGTTGGATGGGGTGGAGGAGCGCGGGCCGAGGCCACAAAAGATGGAAGGGACCCCTCCCAGCTCTAGGGAGCTCAGGGTACGCAGTTACAGTGTGTCTGGGCCTGTGGATGCACACAGCGCCATCCTTTCCTTCTAACTAGAAAAGAGCTAATCCCTGGAGCTCAGTGCGTCTGGAGCTCACGCGCGTCTCCTTCAACTCACATCCTACCGAAGCCCCATCATGTGCGGGAAGTAAAGTGACTCACCCCAAACCACTCAGGACGCCTTCAAGTGCCCTGCCTTTTTCCTGCATCCCCGGGGGACAGGTTTGGTCTGGGGTGGGTGGTGGGGAAGAAACAGAAGTTTTGGTACCTTGCCTTTCCGAGGTTGGGTCACAGGCCCAGAGTCCTCTCAGCTTTTCCCAGTGCCAGGCACGGGGGCAACCCTTCTATGGTACTGTGAGACGGGTGATTAGAAAGTTCTTTGTAAATTATTGTTGGGAGGATTGGGCCGCGGGAAGGGAATGCTTGAAAAGGGGTGTGGGTGTCTGAGGGACACCGCAAGATGAAGCAGGAGAGAGAGCAAAGATGGCTAAGGAAAATTCTGGAAAAGGATGGGGGATGGTTATTGGGAGTCTGCACCAGGTTGGGAAAAAAAAAAAAAACACCTGCAAGTAGGGAAATTCCACCTGCTCGGGTGGGTTTTCTTCCAGCCCACCTTACCCCCTATGATGAGCCATTCTCTCCAGGGTCCCTTGTGTTAACTGAGTCCACGAAGCATCTTTACTCTCCAACAAGGTAGGTCATGTGGAGCAGCCCTGTGGGCTCCTTAGAGATAGGGCAGGGCAAGATGACTAAGCAGTGTACCACATAGTAGGCCGCACTGTGAGCCAAAGTCCATATCCTGGGGATCTAACTGAATAGGGTTGGTGGGGACATCCCCAGTAGATTGGAATGCATATTACTCACAGTGAACATTATCATCCTTGAAATTTACCCAGTGTTTTGTCTACTGCGTTCCTTCGGCAGTCGGTAGCAGAAACCTTCCTTGCATGTTCTGCCCAGTGGTCACCTGGGCCTTGTCTTATGCCTTAGGTTCCAAATTGAAAATTCAAGAGCGTATTTCAAAAATAAAAGTTTTAAAAACCCTTTAAGCCGGGCATGGTGGCACATGCCTTTAATCCTAGCACTCAGAAGGCAGAGGAAGGCAGATCTCTTGAGTTTGAAGCCAGCCTGGTCTACATAGCAAATTACAAGCCAACCAGGGCTGTATAGTGAGACCCTGTCTCAGAAAGCCAAAAAAAGTTTGAAGAATGATGAAAATAGTCTGACTAAATGAGAAGTTTCTTCCCCTGCTTTGGTCCAGCTGGTTTCTGAGGGTAAAGGGGGGCTTCCTAGCCCAGCAAGCCTGGCACCTGTCTTTGTAAGCTGGTTGTGGTAAGGAGGGAGCTTAAAATGGTTTGAACTAAAGAAGAGGAAGGTCTGTGTTCCATCTGAAAGCTGAACGAGATTTTCCTTCACGTTCCTGGCAGAGGGCATGGCAGATGTCAACCTGCAGAGGAGGAAGAAGGCCTGTATAGCAGTATGCTTCACGTGTGAGATTAATGAAGGTCAGCTAGCCCAGACACAACTACTCAGTAAACTTTAACCCTTACTATTACAATTTCCATAACCACTATCATCTGCCTGGGTCTATACAGCTGGTAAGTGGCAGAGACCTGCTGGTTCTTTCTGCCTACACTCCACATACCTGCTGCAGAAATGGCTCTCAGTGTGAACACAGTAAGCCCACAGGAGATTCCTTCTTCTCAGCAGAGGACCCTAGGGTCCAGAGGAGGAGGAAGAAACAAGGGCTAAGCAGCCATGCTCTGGAAGCCTGGATCCCAGAACAGAAGCTGGGCAGGCTGTTCCTAACAGGTGGGTTCCATTCCCATGGTAGATGAGCCCATCTCCAGGGACCTCCCAGCTTTAAACTCTAAAACTCCTCCAAGCTTGGCCCATTTTAGCTTAGCTCTAGTTGACTTCCTCAACCTCCAGAAACAGCAACATCTAGAAAGCAAAATTATAAGTTTTTAATGTTTCTTAGTGGGAGTAATAACTAATCTGTAGTTTACTGAGACTAATTGTTTACTGGGGTCTGGCACTCTGGTAGAACTTCACATTTCTTGTTCTATACAGGAAATGCTCTTTTCTCCCCATGTTTCAAAATAAATTTAAAAAATTTTTTCCAGGCCCACAGAAAACTTCAAAATATAGCCTATATTCACCAATTCACACTTGGCCACCTTCAGTTTTGCACACAAGCACATTTCCTGCCAAGTACTTTAACTTAGAAGCCAGGCACAGTAGCATGTACCTGTAATCCCAGCTATTCAGGAAGCTGAGGTGGGAGGATCACCAGCCTGAGGACCCCAGCCCAGCCTGAGCAGGGCAGCACTGTACAGGCCTGGGGGGAGGGAGACAGAGAGAGAGAGAGAGAGAGAGAGAGAGAGAGAGAGAGAGAGAGAGAGAATGAATGAGAATATCAAGGAAATTTTTTTAGCCAGGTATCGTGGCACACGCCTGCCTGTGACCTGTGATCCCAGCACTTGGGAGACTAAAGCAGAAGACAGCTTCCAGGCAAGCATGGGGTACATACTACAACCCTATCCAAAGACAGAGAAAACTTGCTCCTAAATTCTTCAGTGTGTAGCCATCTCCCCATAGTGGCCTTCTCCTGCTTTCAGTATCATCTAATAAGCACTTGATACTAAAATTTTTCCAAATTGTCTCTCCCAAATCCTCTTCAGTTGTTGATTTTAAAGATCATACCCAGCTGGGTGTGGTGGTGCATGCCTGTACTCCCAGCACTTGGGAGACAGAGGCAGGCAGATCTCTTGAGTTCAAGGCCTGCCTGGTCTACATAGTGAGTTCCAGGCCAGCTGGGGCTACAGGGACACCCTGTCTCAGAAAGACCAAAAAAATAAAAAAAGGAATAAAGATCATATCCAGTCCAGATTCACATATTAACATTTACTAATATCTCTTTGAGCAACTCATTTAATCTGAAAGGAGCCATCCCACCTATGTATTTAATGCATTCATTTATCATTAGATTCTGGTTATGTTTCTGGCTTCTTGGCAATGTGTACTGCTGATTACATCACACCCAGAGGCAGATGATGTCAAGGGCCTTCTGTCCATGAAGCCATCTGATTAGTGGTTAACATTGTGGCAACCTGATGTCTCTACCATAAGCAGGAAAATATCTCGTAATTAATAAGTAAATCTGTGAAGCGATTCTCTAGGCTGGAGGAACTATGTATTCCTCCCACCCCACGTCCACCAGTGATCTTTGTCTGAATTGCAAATGGTATTTTTCTAACTACCATTCCTTCTACATTTATTAGTTGGTGTTCCTTTTGGGTAGAGGTTAAGACAGGATCTCAGGTAGCCCAGGCTGACTTGAAAGCCTAATCTTCCTACCTTTACCTCCCAAGTACTGGGATTACAAGCCTATACCTTTGTGATGGTTAGTGTTAACTGTTAACAGAATCTAGAATCACTTGGGAGATGGGCCTCTGGACATGCCTGCAGGAGGTTATCTTGACGATGTTAATGCCTGTGAGAAGACTCATCTTAGTTGTGTGTGGGACCATTCCCTGACTGGGACCCTGAACTGTATAAAAAGAGAAGGGAACTGAGCAGCAGCATTCACTGCTCAGAATCTCAGCTGTGGATGCAGTGTGACTGTTTTAGTGTGACGTGATGTTCTGCAAGCTCTTTCTGCCTTGACTTTCCCACCCAGGTGGACTACCTTAAACCAGGATCAAAAATAAACCCCTCCCTTAGGCTGTTTTGGTCTTGGTATTTTATCACAGCAACAGGAAAAGAAACTAAGACAGCCCAGGCAACCCACTTCACTGGTATTCCTTTTTATAGAGTAACATTTTCCTCTTTTTCATTCCCTATTCCCTGCCCACCCTTTTTTTTTTTTTCTTTTCGCAGTAACATTATGGACCATATTTAAAAATCCAATTGCTAAAATTTGTTATCATTATTTATTTGGTACTCCTCGAGGCCAGCTCCTGTATTCTTCTGGCATGACTTTACTAGTCTTTGATTGTTCTTTGCTTTCTGGCAACAAAGGATCTGTAGTCATCTGGAACTTTTCCTAACAACATCTAGGAGCCATGGGTTTCTCCAATTTCTCCAGGAACCCCTGGTTCCTTGTAGGAGATATCTAGGTCTGTGCAGGTATGCTCATAGATTGTAGGAGACTTCTGGACAAATAGCTTTTATCTAACCTGTAACCAAAAAGCTAATCTTACAGAAAAAAAAAAAAAACTAATCTTATGTTTCGAGGTCATTGAACACTATCTCAACTTGTTTATAATGTAAAAAGTTTACTAGATCTTGGGCTTCTCTTGTAACCTAAACATATAGTCTTAATCCCTCATGACCCTTCCTTGCCTTTGACTGACACAGAACAATGTATCTCTCTGTCTCTGTCTCTGTCTCTCTGTCTCTCTTTCTGTGTGTGTGTCTGTGTGTCTATTGTGGATATCAGGCAAGTACTGTAAGCAGTGACTATTCCTTGGACGCAACTAGAATTAGCCCATTTGTGCTGTTTAGGTCAGTAAGGATCTAGAGGGGACATCCTTTGATAGGACAGTTACTTCCTCTTTTCCTTCCCCATTTCATGATGGGTGTACGGTTTCAATAAAGAGAGAGCAAGGCCTTTGATTGAGAGCACAATTCTGGGAGAAATCTGAGTGAACAAGTTCTCAGAACATTTCGGGTCCCAACCTTGGTTGAAATGGATGCTGAGAGTCAGGCTGTTTTTGTTCAGGCATTGCTGCAATGTGGCACCACACCATCTCAACAGATTATTTATCATTTCTAAGCTCTGCGAGTGATCAAAGCTGAGAGGGGCGGGGAAAACAGCTGGTCCTCACTAAGAGTACACCAAGGGTTCTGCATCTCAGCCCTTAGTATTAATTTGGGGACAGCAACATGGGGATGTAGATCTGTGGTAGAACACTTGGCCTAGAATGTTCAGGGTTTGATCACTAGCACCATGATCAATAAATAAATATCTTTTGTCTTACTCTGAAGAGTATCACAGGTGCTGGGCATGGCGCACACCTTTAATCCTGGCACTGGGGAAGCAGAGGCAGGTGGATCTCTCTGAGTTTGAGGCCAGCCTGGACTACATACTGAGTGCCGGGCCAGCTGGGGCTACAGGAAGACCTTTTCTCAAAAAAAAAAAAGTGTCACAGGGCTTTATTCAAATTCTGTTTACTGTCCTTAATAAAATGCTGTAGCTTTTGTTGCCAGCCATAGTATGCAGACTTGAATCCTCCTTGGAATTCTAGCTCAGCTACCTCTAGCTCTGTGATCTTAAGTGGCTGTCTTCACTATTCTGGACTTATTTTTTTTAGAATTATAAAATTCTAAATATTGGAGTAATAATTACAATACCTCAAAGCACCACTGTGGCCTTAATGTTTCACATGGCTCAGGGCATGTCATAGGTCCTCATGAAATGTTTTATGTGTTGCTGCTTTATCCTTAGACATGCTGGGTTGCTGTTGAAGTAGAAAGGTTTTGACAGCTTGGTGGACCTGTTTTGTGTCAGCTGTGCAGGAGCTGTGGGTCATCCTAGGATTTGGGCCCCGGTTCTTAGATGTAAATAGGCAGAGCCCCAGTCTAGTATACACAGAGTGAGGCTGTGGGCATCTGTTGCTCCTGTTGCACATTAGGAGTCCTGTAGTGGAAGGAAAATGAACAGAGATGGCCAGGCATGGTGGCGCACACCTTTAATCCCAGCACTAGGGAGGCAGAGGTAGGTGGAGTCCTGTGATTTCAAGGTCGATCTGGTCTATATAGTGAGTTCCAGGTCAGCTGGAGCTACAGGATGACAAAGAAAAAAAGGGAAGGAGGGAGGGAGGGAGAGGGGGAGGGAGGGAAAAGGAACAGAGGTGTTGGCCTTGGTACAGATTCAGACCCCAGCTCTTCCAGTGACTAGGTATATGAACCTTGAGCCATCTCTTACCCTTTCTGAACCTCAGTTCCTCATTTGCAAATGGGAAAGGATGATAGTATTGCAGGAAAGACAACAAAAAATAACTTCCTTATATTAGATTCTTTGGATGAACTGCAAATTAAATTGATATAGAACAAATGAAGGAGAAACTCCGTTTTAATTAGTGTATGCACATTTGGGAGTCCCACAAGATAGAGAGTCACGGGATTGAAGTTTATACGGCACCCTGAGCTACAGAAAGGAAGGAAAGCATGGACTTTGAGAGTGGTGGAGGAAAGTTATGGGGGAGTGAGGGGAGGAAGTGTATGGTGAATGTTCAGCAGATAGGAGTCGGGTGACTATAGTTGTCTGGGAGCAGCTCTCCTTGGTACACCTTAGTACTGGAAGTTTCCTTGTAGATGCAAATTCTTGTAAGTGCATCATTTCAAAGCTACTCCTGTGTCTGTGCTTTCTCAAAATAACTAAAAACAATCAATATGCCAAAGGGGAGGTGGTGTATTAGACTATGTCAAAGTGTGGTTGTAAACATGGAGGAAAGTATTTAACACAACACAGTCATTCTCTGTACTTTTCTATATGTAGTTATTAAAAGTAGGTTTAAGGCCTGGGCCTAGTGGTCCATGCCTTTTATCCCAGCATTTTGGAGGTAGAGGCAGCCAGGTCTACACAAGTTCCAGGCCAATCAGGGCTACAGGGAGACTGTCTCAAACCAACAACAACAAAAAAGCAGGACTGGGGATATTGCTCACTAGTAGAGACTTTGTGTAACAGTCCCATCCTGGGTTTCATCTCCAACACTGCAAAAATAAATAATAAATAAATAAATAAGTAAATGCTGGGGGTATAATACGCTCAGTGATCAAATGTATGCCTAACATGCATGAGATCCTAAGTTGATCCCCAGCACCAAAATTAAAGAAATTAATAAAAAATAAGTCACTTGCTACCAGACGTCAATGCTGCTCACAACAGGCGGTAGCTGTTTTCTTGCCAAGCTGCGGCAGAGCTGTGTTTGAAAAGGCTGGTTCAAAAAGCTTCAAACTTCTTGAAGCTTCTGTTGCTGTTAGAGTCTGTCTGTCTGTAACCATGGGGATGGAACCCAGGACTTTGTGCATATTCAGCAAATGTTCCTGAGCTGTACAGTCTGGCCCTAAAAATAAAAAAATCACTTCCTGAACTCAGGTCCTCACACAGGCCAAGTAAGTGCTCTACCACTGAGCTATACACCCCTAGCCCCCCAAACTACTACTTTATTCTCACACCTTATTTTCTTTTTTCTTAAAGGAAAAATTTTTAATATTTTTATTTTATGTGTATGAGTGTATTGCCTACATGTATGTAAGTGTACCCATGTCATGCAGTGCCTATGGAGGTCAGAAGAGGCCATTGGATCCCCTGGAATTAGAGTTACAGATGGTTGTTAGCTGCCATGTGGGTGTTGGGATTTGAACCCAGATTCTCTGGAAGAGCAACCACTGAGCCATCTCTCCAGTTCCTCCCACCCCATGTTTTGAGGGGTTTTGAGACAGGGTCTGGAGAGATGGCTCAGCAGTTAGGAGCATATGCTGCTCTTCCAGAGAATCTGAGTTCGATTCTCAGCACCCCCAGCAGTCTGTAACTCCAGCATTGTACTCACATGCACAAACAAACCAACACAGGCACACAGGCACACACAACTAAAAATAATAATATAGGGCCGGCATGGTGGTGCACGCCTTTAATCCCAGCACTCGGGAGGCAGAGGCAGGCGGAGCTCTGTGGAGTTCAAGTCCAGCCTGGTCTACATAGTGAGTTCCAGGACAGCTGGGGCTACAGGGAGACCCTGTCTCAAAAAAGACCAA